AATAATTTATAATTCAACTAATTAGAATTTTTTATATATATAAGTCACCATTTCATTTTAAAGTAATAAATAAAAATAATTTAAAAATATCAAATTTCAAAAACTCCATGATCATCCATTCATATTTCATAAGAAAACTTTTGAAGGACATGTGACACTTTGTAAGTGATCGAAAATTTTCTCTTTCTATGTAGGGTTTTCACTTTCCCCTTTTCTTTGTGATGTTTTACATATTCTTTTTCCTTTCTGATTTTGTTTTAATTGTAAGCCTTGATTTCTTTCATTTATTCCTTTTCAGGCCATATATAATTCAATACTTCAATTGTCAGTTGAGTTTAGGTACAAATTACAAAGAAAATCAACTATAGCTATAGTATTACATGAATGTGTACACTTAAATTTAAAAAGGATATTTTCCGATCAAATTAGTTTTTCCTTCAACTTCCAAAAGGGAAAATGTTAAATAATATTTAATATGATAGTGATGTACATACAAAGTCCATGTACTCCTAATAGTTAATGTGATCATATGGTAAAAATTTTTGTAATTATGCCTATTATTATCTATAGAGATAGTGATTTGCATGCACATATATAAATATGTAATTAAGTACTTTAACTTGTAAAAGTACTCAGAGAATTTTCAATATTCATAGTTGATGATCTTTTGCTGTTAACTTCGATTAAACAAAATTAAAAGCAAAAGCAAAATTTAACGACCTTCTAAAACCGTCATCAGCATTTTAATATCAGTGTGATTAGTGAAAAGAAATATAGATATATTCAAATCAATCTAATCATCATAAGATTTTAATAAGTGGATAGGAAAGAAGAAAAAGTAAAACAAAACACGTTGGAGTCATGTACTTAAGTAAAGTTAAACCTTAAAACATGAATTATATTGTGCGTTACCAAACGTGATTAAGCAAAATAAAAAGTTCTCATGTTAAAGTAACTCTGCCACGAAGTTAGGAACATTTAATGCTTATTCAGAAAAATTTTAAGAAAAAAAGCACTTAAGAAAAGAGGAGAAATATTAAATCATCGTAAATTAAAGAAGTAGAAAGTGCATTCTTTACTCAGATAATACTGTCTTCATATTGCTTTTTCGGCTTTTTGAAGCTATAACTTTCTTGGTAGAGAGCAGAAGCATGCAACCTTTCATATTGCTGCAAAATCAAGAATTTGTTCATCTGTTGTTGACTTTGTAGCTAGGGTTATAAAGTAATGGTTGATATACTCATCACATACAAAGAAAAGGCATTATCAAAAGCCATTAACAAAGGTTGCTTTAAAAAAGAAATCCTAATCTACTCTTAAAACCCCTTAACGTATTTACTTACCTATGAATCTTGACCACCTTCTCCTGCCATCCAAGCTAAGCTCATTTGGCTTACCAAGGGTTGCTTAATCACACACTCCACAGTTCACATTATAAATTGCACTATATTAAAAGGATTTTCTTTGTGAAGCCTATAAGCATAAAGGAAGCAAATGTCTACCAATTAGGTTGTTTGCAGGCAGCAACCATTGAAATGCTGGACTTTGCATTTCTGGATTCAGATAATTCTATTTGCTATATTTAAAATAAATTAAAATTTTTAAGAAAAGAATTCTGCCCATTAACTAATTAATTTTATTTCTTATTGGTTTTCCTCCAGTGGTTCCAATTTTATACTGTTTGCATTAGGATTTTTCTATGGAAAAAAAGTATTTAGTTAATGAAAAGATACTATTTTTTGGCCACATAATGAAATGATGCTTCAGTTAATATAAAAAATAAATCCAGTTTTTCCTACATGGAAATTTTTTATTGGTTTCTGTTCTCCTCATATGATTGCAAATCTCCCCCTATTAATTAGTTCAAATATGAGGTTTTTAAATCCTCTCTTTAAACAAAACACAAAGAGACACTTTGGGATCCATCAAAAACCATTGTGCACATTTGATGCATCTATTTGATAAAGACATGTTGATATGAGAAGAGAAAGGGGAAAAAAAAGAAAAAAAAAAAAAGAAAAAGAAGAAAGGAAAATCAAACAAAAATCAAAGCAAAATTCAAATAGGCCATGGGTTCAATTAATTTTGAGGAGAAAAATCTTAACTTTATAAGAATCATTTCTTCCACTCCCTTTGTTAGGGCAACTAAATATATTACTATATAAGACATAGAATCTGTGTGGGTCATATTTTCCACTCTTTCAAAGCTTTTTTTCTGCAAATTATTTTTTTATTTCCCAAAGAGACTGAGAGATTATCTGTTTATGTTTTTTAATCACTTCACAAAGCTTGATTAGACGGTCGTAAGGACTAGCCTTTTCTCCATGATTTAAAATGCATTTGTCCAAAACTCAATTTGCAATTCTCAAATAATATATATAAATATAAAATTATATTTTATTAAATTTCATTACAATGAAATTCTTACATAATAAAGATTCTTGATCCAAAGAACAACTAATTCAGGGATAATATAACTAATAAGCAACAATATTGAGAATTAAACCTAGTGAACCTTAATAATGTATGTATCAAACAATGAAGAAATTGGAAAACGTTAAACATCCAATCATGAATCTCCTCTTAGGACATAGCTTTAAATTTTTCTATTTTTCCTATTATTCTTTCTAAACTTGGAAGATTTCCCTTCTCCTTTTGATGAAAAATTAAAACCGTTTAATTATATATGTTACAATTGCAATGTGATTGTAGTTCATGAACCTTGTTTTTGTAAGCTTTTTTTTTTTTTTGTTCTTTTTGTGAATTGTTCGATTACATTTATTTTTATTAAAAAGAAATGAAAGGGCATTTTTTTTGTACAAAGAGAACGTCGCATCCTAGAGTTAAAAAAAAGTTTGTTATAAGCGTTGAGATGTGAACTTCAAAACCTACTAAATGTTATCTCTTAAAGATAATTGTATAAACTAATTAAATTAATTTAAATTCTGAATTTAAATGGAATCTTTATTCACAACCAAGCTTTTATACACTCCACAATCTTTATAGATAGTGCTTGATATGCGAGGGAAATTGAATTTCAGCTGAAGAGAGTGCGGTGGAGCATAAATGCCCACGAATATTCAGAAGTGCATGGAGCAACAACAAAAGGGATTAGTCCATAAGACAAAATTTACTTATATCATGATTCAAGAGTTTGCTTTAATCATTTTTCTTCCCAATAATCTGAATTTCACTGCTTTGCCAAACTGCTCTCTAATGATTATTACTGCCAACAAAGAAAATTCACATCTGAAAATCGCCCCACCAATGTTAGTTTGCCAAGAAATCCTGCAAGATTGACTTGATCACCAAATTGTATTGCTAAAAGAATTGTTTTAAATAGTGGATGACATAAATCCCCACCAATGCAAATGCTGATGAAACAAACAGGGTCTTAGTCAAAGACTAAAAACAAAAAAGACAGATTAGTGGGAAAAAAAGGAGGATTTTAGATACACCTGAATTGGGTTACATATGAGAAAGACGAAAAAGAAAGAGAGTGCACTTATCCCACCATAGGAATGCGGGTTCATAAAGGTGGGAAAAAAAGGAGGGGAGGGGTGCAAAGGCGATTGCCAATTGCCAACCCTTTTCTTCCCAAAATTTAAATGGATGGCCAACCATGACCTTCGAAACACATGTTATTATTTTAGTTTGGGTTTAATTTTGAGGCTTGCTATTATCATTATCGAGTGCAAGAGACTTCAAGCTTTTGTTAACTTAGAATTTAGGTTAGATGCTGGGCAAAAGCAAGAACCTACAAGGCTAAAACTTGCCACACCTTGACACTTTCAACTGACCCAAAAAGACTACAACTATTGGATTTTTAAAGCTGCTTTTTTCCTTTTAATTTATAAAACAAATTCACCATTAAATAGTAATCATAAACTTTTTTGCATTCAACTCAAATTCTAGACCTAATCATTTAAAACACAATATAATGATACTGTATGAAAATAATACAAAAAAATATAAAAATGATAAAATTTAAAATTTTAGTAAAAATTATATATGGAGTAAGTAAAAATAAAAAATATATTTCATATTTGGAGTATTGACACAAATTTTGATATAATAATTTTTATATTTTAAAAATATTTAACATAAAATAAAAATATATATAAATACACAAATTGTCAGATAGATTAAATAGCTATATCTGCAACCTATTTTTAAATTTCCTTATATTTTCTAAGCTAGTGATGGAAAGTAGAGACATCTTTGGATCATTTTCATATTAGATACAGGCCCAGTTTTAGGCCTATGAACCACAGATTCAAGCATCATAGCAAGTTAGTTTAGTTGGGCCAGGCATAAATTCAAAAGAATTTAATGTTCCAAACCACTTTCTCAAAACCTGTACATAAAGTTAGGTTTCTTCTAGGCCTAGAAGGAAAAAAGAAATGCTCGAAAGAGTCGTGACTATAAAATATCAAAAGAAAAGGAGAAAATGGCTTCTAGCCTCTAGTTTCTAACTCCAAAGACAAGTGTATGGTGTAGTGCAAGGGCAGTGCGCGGTTTTTCATTTGATGGGGACAACTCCTATAATTCTGAAAAATATATGAATTATAAATTATGATCACATTTGAAGCAGAATTTTTAAGTAAGCAATTCTCTAGCACAACTTAACTTTGCCCTATTAAAATATATATAATAAATATATATTTTAAATGTTTAAACGCATTTTCACATCAATTATTTTGTTTGCACGTAGCTTTCCTTGAACTGTATTTCAATTCATGAATTTCAAATCCGGTGGCTCCATTTCGTCTTATATCTCCCAAACAGTTCATCATAAATACGTAGCACTGACGGGCGACTACTGTCCACAATCCTATCTATCAGTGGCTCCAAAACTTTCCCTGAAAACAATGATGTAACCAGAGGGAATAGCTTCCAAAGTGTAAAATTTATTGTTCATTGTCTTGCTGTTTTATTCGAGTCAGTTCCAACCGTAGATATAAAGGCCAAAACCCATGCTAAAAATTTTGGAACGACCTGACAAGAACACATACTTAACCCTCATAAATTAGGTAGTTGTTTGTTTAGTATATATCATAAAAGTCCACAATTAAACCGATTTCTGCCGAAATAGGGATCCTGTTCAAGTTAAAGACCACAATCAGTACCGAATGGGCCAAACAATTATGGTTGCTGAGAGCAATTTCTCAACGCTCCCCACCTTGGCCCATGCATTTAAGTGAACCAGTGGCAGTTGAGGACATTATTTGGGATGAGATGGTTGTTGGTGTGTCGTTCAATTCATAATATTTTTCCCAATTACTATAAATGTAGAGCATACTTGCTCTACTTTCCGTGCAACTCTAACTTTCAGAGTCTCTTTCTCTGTTTTGCTTTTGTTTCTATAGCATACCGGTTCTCTATGGAGTTTCATCTCTCCCCGGTTCTTACTCTTCTAGCTGTAAGTTTTTCTCTTTGTAGTGGTTTGATGTTATTACAAATTATTGAGTGCAAGAACTTGTTTCAACTGAAATTTTATAGTTGCAGCTTGTGGTGGTGGCAAGCCATGCTGCTCTATCACCTGAGCAATATTGGAATTATGCGCTGCCAAAAACTCCGATGCCAAAGGCAGTTAAAGTAATTCTACATCCTGGTGAGTGCATAATACCCGTCATTTGTACGAGTTTTAAGCTCCCGATACTATGATTTACGAGGAAAAAAAAAAAAACAGAAGAAATCTTAACAAGTCAAATAAACTTGATTATTTAAAATATGATACAGTGATACGATATGAAAATGATACAAATAAAAAATACGAAGATAACATAGTTTAAAATTTTAAAAAAATCATAAATAAATTTAATAAAATTAAAATTTTATATTTTTATATCGATATAAACTATGACAAATAATTTTTATATAAAACACCATATCAATATAATATTTTATACAATATAATGATTCGAATTACAATTCAAGAAAGTGAAAACTGTAAAAAATGACACATCGATTTTCCTATAAGATTTGAGTCATTGTCTGAAAGAGCGCACAAATACAATCATGTAATAAGAGAAGCAGGCTAGTAATACGTGTAACATAGAAGTTAAATCTGAACTGCAAAAATAGAACGCAAAAATATGTTCTATTTTTGCAATTTATTAAAAGAGAACGAATATGATATGTTCTATTTTGCTATTTATTCAGGAAAAAGAAGAATAGAATATGTTTGGCATGCATTGACTTATCACGAAAAAAGTATGTTTGATGCATTTATGAGCATGTATCTGAGCTCTCTAGCATATGTTGGTATATTTGCAGAATTGGAGGACAAAAGTACCTCTGTCAATGTTGGGGGTGGTGGTGTAAACGTCAACACAGGAAAAGGGAAGCCTGGGGGCACTTCTGTGAATGTTGGAAAAGGTGGAGTAAATGTTAACACAGGGAAAGGAAAGCCAAACGGTGGCACCAATGTAAATGTTGGTGGCAAAGGTGGAGTATCTGTAAGCACAGGAAACAAAGGAAAGCCCGTGTATGTTAATGTATCTCCGTTTATTTATCGCTATGCAGCCACTGAGACTCAAGTCCATGATGATCCGAATGTAGCTATTTTCTTTCTGGAAAAGGATATGCATCCCAGAGCAACAATGACCCTGCATTTCACTGAAAATACAGAGACAGCAACTTTCCTACCTCGCCAAATTGCCCAAAAAATACCATTTTCCTCTGACAATTTACCAGAAATTTTGAACAAGTTTTCAGTGAAACCAGGATCAGTGGAAGCTGAGATGATGAAGAACACAATCAAGGAGTGTGAACAGCCACAGATTCAAGGAGAGGACAAATATTGTGCAACCTCACTAGAGTCAATGATTGACTTTAGTACTTCCAAGCTCGGGAAAAATACTCTGGCAATCTCTACAGATGTGGAAAAACAAACTCCAATGCAAAAGTACACAATAGCAGCTGGTGTGCAGAAGATGGCAGGTGACAAATCTGTAGTGTGCCATAAACAGAATTATGCATATGCTGTCTTCTATTGCCACAAATCAGAAACGACAAGGGCTTATATGGTACCTTTGGAGGGTGCTGACGGGACAAAAGCCAAAGCAGTAGCAATCTGCCACACAGATACTTCAGCGTGGAACCCAAAGCATTTGGCTTTTCAAGTCCTTAAAGTTGAGCCAGGAAGCATTCCTATATGCCATTTCCTTCCTCAGGATCACATTGTTTGGGTTCCTAAGTAAAACCTGAAGAGCAGATTGAGACCCTTTATCATCAATCAACTAAGAATAGCAGCTAAGGGCATATTAAGGTTGGTCTATAATAATTATACCTCCAACCCACGAGTTTAAATATGCACATCTTTGTTATGAATGATGAATCATGTATTTAGTAATCAGTAAAATGGTGTTACTTTTTGTATCCCAATGGTTTGCTGGTAAATCTACTAGAGTTCTGTCTCATGATGAAAATCACTTAGGGATGTCAATGGGGCAGGTGAGGGGCGAGTAGAGGTTTCCCTTCCCCGTGATTTTTTTCATTATACCTATCCTCGAATCCGACAGATATTTCAAATTCATACTCATCCCTGTCCCTACGATGATTTAACAGGTACAGGATATCTTAGTACCTGTGGCACTTTAAAAAATTAAAAAAAAAAAAAACTTTAAAACCAGAAAACACATTAATGTTAAGTTATTCATTGTTGCTAGACAAGCCAAGAACAGAAAACATTAAAAACAAGGTTTAATGGGGCATTTGTACGCACAACAATTAGTGACTATGTCTCAAAATTCATGCAGCCTATGTTTCTATCTGCCTGCTAACAGCTAACAATTAGTGATTGATTTTGAAGCACACCCTAACCCCAACCCCCTCCAAGAAAAATGAAGTGAAGACCAAATCCAGATTGGACTAATGGATGTAGCCAGGTCGAAAGATACAACTGGTCTGCTGGTCTGCCGGTCTGTGCAGACTGGTGAGTTAGTTTGGCTAACTTAGAACACGGAATATAGAAATTTTAAGCAGCAATTGTTTTTCTGACCAGCGAGAGGATGAATTTAATTCTCCTCGCAAAGAAAAAGTGTTTAGCCGAGAAAGAGGGAAAGAGATAGCACAGACAAAGGGGCCAAAGAGCCGAAAGATAAAAAAAAAAAAAAAGGAACGTATTTATATTTTTATAAATATAAAAGCCCAAACCTAATAAACACAACATATTTATATTTTTAATTTTTATATATTTATCATATATAAATATACCTGACACTTGAGGTTGTGTTATAGAAACCATCTCCGTCCCCACGTCCATCAGGTATTTTTAAATTCATATCCGTCACCAAAATTTGATACCCATGCCCATAACCATTCAGATAAAAAACCAAAATTCCCATTGCATACAAATAGAATTGATATATTATCAAAAAGATATTAATAACAAATAATCAAATAAAAATACAATTCAGTGGCAATGGTATTTGTCATTACTATTTGAATGACGGTAAATTCATTGGGGAAAAAACGAGTGGCCAGTTAGGTTCTTGGAAAAAATCAACGGCTCCAAAGACACATTTGCCCAAGTGATTAGCCATGCAACCCTCAGGTATGCTGAATGAGGTAATAAAGGCGGAGATGGATTGTATGGCAGGTTTGGCTCTCATGAATCTAGAAAATCACTGATTGGAAGGCTATTTTAAACAAACCACCAAATTATCAAAACACACACACATACATACATAATAGAATCATGGATGCAACAAGGAAACCCATACTCCCAAGTGGCAAAGACCTAGAACTGCCAGTTTGGATAAGGTATTATTCAGACACTTTAACCAAAGGCTTCTTAACCATTAGTATGACAACAACTTAAAGTTTTCTGGGTCTCAAAACTAGCAAGAAGGGCCAGAAATGTCAAATGGAATGCGGTCATACCAGATGGCAAAGCAGCAACATCACATAAATTTGGTTGATTGAAGTAATGGCCTAAGTGAAATAGCACCTTCAATTCATTCCATACCTCAAGGTTGTTTCAGGTGAACAGCACACTAGAACATGAAAATTAGGACAGTGAGTAAGATAAAAGTGCAGTGAAAATGAAATATGTCCCCTGATGATGCATGTTAATAAACATTCCATTCAAAGCTACAGAGGTAATGTGAATCATTCTGGTCAACTAATTGTAAGTACCAACCAAGTAATCAAAAGTTAAAATTGAAAAATTGTTTAGAATGGAAATCCAATATAGAATCACTCATATTGTAACGGGCTGGAAAGGGCCCTGGTGCATTTGAGTCTGTTACAACTAAGTTTCCCTTAAAATCCTCTCTTCAACTTTTTCCAATTAGTAAGTTTATCATATCATCAAATCCAGCTGGCACACGTCTCTGACAATTTTTTCTTTTCTGACTATTTTATATTCATCGCCATTAACTATCAGAACTTCAGCATATTTTGAAACCAATTCAACCTTCAAGATCTACAAGAGGACCATATGACAAGATGAGTTAATTTAGCAGTTGAATTGAATAAAAAAAAATCAAATCAAAACATTAGTCAGAAATGTAAGGACGGCTATGTTTAGGTGCATAAAGAAAAAATATAAAGTGATGCCGAGTGTTCTAATTCCTTTTACTCAAAAGTAGTGAGTAGTCACCCAATCAACACTTTTGAACTCTCTGCATTTACCACATGGAACTAATTTCTTCAGCAAGGGCCCATCAGGCAGTGGATTAAAATATACTATTCCTCAGAAGGTAACAAATAACCTAGATGGTAGCATGGTTGTACTAGAAACCTAGGATCTAGTCTTGTATGTGTAATGGTTTGAAGGGTTAAGCGGAAGCCGGAAAGGAAGCTTAACCCTGAGTGTGTGTGCACACATTTAGTCCAACCCCAAATAAATCAGCAGGAAAATTTTGATAGATTTCTTTTTTTGGCAATTGATGCTGTTAGGATTTGAACCCTGGTCATTGGAACTAAGAGTCCAACACTCCAATGATAGACAACGTGGCTGTTGGCAAAAAATTGGATAGATTTCTTTAGATGCTTAAAGTACAAATATGCACAATCTTCCAAAGAGGCAAACCAAGAAAAAGCACTGAACCAAAGAAGCACATGTATCTTTTCCAGTCCTTCTAAGCTCATAAAAAGCCCTAGAGTATTCTAAAGTGAATCAAGCAAGCAGATTCCAAGAAATTTAAAAGAAATCACGCAGCCAACTGATGACAGCAAATGGTGGAAAGGAAGGCTTAAACCAGTTAGAATGATTCACAGGAGCTTTGATGCCATGTTATCAAAGATGGCAGATAATAAGATAAACACAGTGTGCAACGTTTTTTACATATTCATTGATCATGCAAAGTACTTGGATAAATAACATTACCAAAATCTGACTCCTATCTCACTAGGGCTGAAATAGCCAGCCATTAAAGAACCAAGCTCAGCAACCCCCACCCTGCAGCAGTATCACAACAACAAACAGCAATCACATTACAAATGACATGTTAGTGTTCTCTGTAGATCACCTGTTATATACTTTAACATGAGGCTTAAGACAACTTACCAATGCTACTTTATCATAATTACAATTGAAGTTACATCAGTGGGCTCAACAGTGTTCATACTTTTTGAAATCATTTATTGCACCACGAATATCTCTTTACATAACACTTCTTCCAGAGATGACATGAGAAAAGTTGAGGGCTTCTTGCAGCACAATTCCATCCAAGCAGCCCACTCAACCAATCCCCTTCTGTGAGATATATTTTCCTTAACCTGTAATCAAAGACATTCAAAATCAGAAGATCTCCCACAAGTTAAAAGTCTTGTGGAACATATGACTTGTCAACTCTTCATTACATACACGGTCTCTTCACTTCCATCAATTTTTGCTGTAACCGTAATCCAAAGTCAAGAACAAGGACATCTACTGATCTAACATTTGGACACAGCTTCCTCCATTCGTTGATCAGCCAGAAAAGGCTTCAAAGAGCCCCATGTCCTTCCAACATTTAGTTTGACACGCAAAGGAACTAGAAACAAAGAATATGAAAGAAGACCATGAAAATGTGTCCTCAAAATATCACAAAGTTATGAAATATGTGAAACTTACCTAAAAGAGAAACAGCATTTTCCATGCTCATTTGCAGCAACCATGCAGCTTCCTTTATCACAGAAGGATCAACTTCCAGTACTAATTCATCATGCACCTAGAAAATGGTAACCTAGATTTTCAGTCAACTACATTTCAGAACATAAATTTTAAGATAAAATTAGGCAAACAGGACTGCAAATTTCCAGATTTAATTAATTCATCAGTTATTTTCCTCAAAAGGTCAAATGCTAGAAAGTGCTTCATTGAAGAAACATAACAAGGGGAAAAAGATAAATGAAAGGCAGCAATTTCAAAAAGAAACCTGCAAAAGGATTCTGCAGCGGTCCTTAAGCATGTGAAACTTAGTTGAAATTGAAGAGCCAGAGTCTATCTTATCAACCCCTTCAACAATCATATAATACATTTTTATCATTGCTATTTTGATTATGTCAGCAGCAGATCCCTGCAGATAATAGACTATCAGCAAATGAAGGCTATGATTTTATGTCACCTATACACAAAGCCTACCTCAAACTTGCAACAAAAAAATGTTTTATTTACCTGACAAATAGAATTCACTGCTTGCCTTTGAGCTTTTGATTTTTCTTTACTATTTCCAAATTTTATTTTGGACAAGAAGCGCTTTCTTCCCTTAAGGGTTTCTACATATCTGGATTACAAGCACATATAGAAAAAAAAAATCAAAAATAGGTGGTCCATTGATAAGTGCAAATTTTGACCATGGTTCAAACTTTAAAATGCAAGAAAAACCTTCTTTTGTTACAGATATCTATTTGCATAAGGCATTACAGTATCAGATATAAAATCCTTCAGATAACATACAATTAATGGCTAATACCAGTGACAAAAAGACTGGAAAAAAAGACATTAACCACATATAACTCATTCCAAGCACAAATATGAGGTTTACAAAGCATAAGCCCTTAACATGGAGCAATAACAAACAAATAACAGAGTAGAAATGATGAATTTTGGAAAAAGAAACATATGCATTAGAGAGAAGGAAGATTAGACAATCAATAAAAAACACTTGTCTTATACTTCTTTTTTTTTTTTCCTTTTCCCCTTGTTTCAGTCTTCATAAATAAACCCTTGCAGCATTTTCATATATAATTGACGAGTCAAGAGAAGGAATAGAATATGAAATGATGTTGGTGACTTTGGAAGGCTACCTCAGACAAAACTGATACATTATCTATTAAGATCTTCCTTACCCTTTCTGATGACAAGATAAAATGGCTTCACGAAGCCAGGATGCAACACCAGGAAAAGAGCGTTTAAAGCTTTTAATTTTTTCTTTAGCTTCATCCGAGGTGCATTTTAGTTGTTTGGCAAGAGTGTCAGCACCCATTCCATAAAGAATGCCATAGATTAACCTTTTTGTTTGGTCTCGCTCATTGGAGCTAAGAGAATCTTCAGCCCTCCCAGTCCATATTGCTGACATCATGGTAAAAACATCACCCTGTGGCTTACTAAGGAGTTCAATTAATGCAGAGTCCTTCGAGAAGTGGGCCATTAACCGCAGTTCTATTTGAGAATAATCTGCTGTTAACAGTAACCAGTTATCCTGCAATAAAAACTAGGAAATACTCACCAAGGTGTAAACAGACAACTTCCAAAAAATGACCTTTTGTGAATGATTATGTCAAAAAAAGAAAAATAAAAATTCCAATAATCCTATCCATAAAGACATTGGAATAGGTCCGTATCTCCTCTGCCCCAACCACCAATCTACTTCATTGCCTAGATGCAAAACCAGTTAGCTTCCCCACTTACAGCCTTACAAAAGCTGCCTGTGTTACAAAATTCAAAACTACTCTTACACCACCTACTAGTCTACAAAAGTCTCGCCTCGCTTGGTTAAACCAACAATCAGCAGATCAACCAACTTAACCTCTTTATGAGCCACTATCCAACATAAACAGGAAAATCCATAAATTCTAAATCCCACAGCATAGTTTTACAGTCAAAATCTAAGACACTACAATCTATTTTTTGGAACACCATACAACAGATAATCACAAAGTAAGACACTCTGACCTATTTTTAAACACATAACAAACTCATTAAAAAGGAAACACAAAAATTATAGAAGAAAAACTAACTCCAGTTCTACAAGGTACCTTTTCCTGGTAAATAGAGCAAACAAGAAATGGAGGCACTTCAACCTCTTTATGATTGGAGGAGTTGGGATTTTGAAATTACAAGGTAGGGTGATGTAAGAAAAGAAAAAAGATAGATTGCTTGGTTTTCTTGTAGATATTTTGGCAGCATCAGGAGTAAGAACCTTATTTTCTGATAAGCAGTTCTTTGATGAATATTTTAAAGTATATAGTAGCATTGCACAGCACTTCAAGGAACGCTAGCTACATAGACCTTACCTGAGTAGGGACAAAGAAGTCACGCACATTAATCTTATAGTGATCAACATGGGCATCACTTCCATTTTTATCTTCGCTCAGGCTGAATTCAACCGTATGCTCAACACACTACATATCACAAACAAACAAACTGCTAAACAAAATAGTTTGTAACACAAATGAGAAAATCTTACATATAAAAGAAAAACAACAGGAAAGATGAAGTGTAAGAATTTAACCAGAACCTGAAGATTAGGTTCCTCCATTGAAAGACGACCTGTTGCTGTTGACGTTTGGAGCCAACGACCATGTAGTGTGTAATTGTGTGCACTCTGAGACAGCCTAGCTAATGAACAAATGGATCCCAGTGTACAGTTTAAGAGCTTTGCCAACGTTCGATGCTCTCTAATGACTGGAATAATTGGATGTTCATCCCTGAAACAAAACCAAATCCATATTACAATAAAATCAGCATCCTAGGAATAATTGGAAGTTTGATGCCATCTAATGCATAAACAATTTTCAATATCCTTAGGACACTTTTAGAAACCCTGCTTTACACAATGTTAGATGGGCACTCAAGATTCTCCATCTATACGGTGCACAAAGAAAAGAAGCCAAATCCTTTTAAATACCTCAGTAGATCCAAACAGTGTTTGTCAGTTCTTGGGTGCTGTTTTCCTTTATTGTGCCCCTCCGGCACAGGCAACTTCAAGTGCCCATACAGTACATTCGCAATATCAGCTGCTGTGTACAATGAAAATGTCATGCCAGCCAGTTTATAAGCTTCCTTCTCCAGACATCTCAGTTTTTTAGCCAATACGTTTTGTGCCCAGAGGCATCCCTCCATGTTGATGCGTATTCCCCAAAGCTCCATCTCAGCAAGTACATTAACCTGATATGTTAAAACTAACATTATATTACTATCCATTGCTTCAAGCATATAACCAGTTAAAGGGAAAATTTATTATTATTATTATTATATTGTTCCATAGTTTCAAAGATGAGAAACTATCATTTCTGCATACTAAATGGTCAAGAATAAGTTCAAGAGAAACCAACATGAATTACACTAGAACCACCAGAAGAGGCAAGAAAACGAGTCAACACTAACAACTGCTTATATGCAGTACACCAGAAGGACATCCCTGATGCACCACCCCTAAGGAACCAACCATCTCTGCCTCTAAGGGGAGCATTTCACCTGCAATCATTGTAGTACAATTAACCAATCACAATTCAAAATTATATGGGATCCATCAAAATTTTATGTGGAGCCCGCACTTATAAGTGGTGAACCCCCACATAATTCTTTATTGTGATTGGATAATTGTAGGATTGTAGCAAAAAAGTTTGTAAGTGATATGCTCCCGACTCTAAGGGGCCAAAGATGGGGATTGATTTCAATATGAGACCAAGGTCAAGGACAGGGATGGGAAGCATTAAACTTCCCACCCTTTTTTTATGGCCAACCCCCCCCCCCCCCCCCCGCGCTTTTCTTATGTCACACTTTCCTACCACCAAAGATTTGGCATGCCTAGATCTAATATTTTTCCCTCAAAGATTGAAAAAAAGTATAGGAGACTTTACCAATGGTGTTTCAATATATGTAAACACTTCAATAAGTTTTTCAGAGATAAGTAACTTCCAAAGTGCAGAACACAGGGCACGTGTTTGTGCAACTCTAAGGCAGCAACCATTATGTGCAGCTCTTCGCATCTGATTCTTCCACCTGCCACTCTGCTTAGCAGCTGCTGCAGCCTCACTGGATAACCGTTTCTTTACTTCCTAATTAATCATAATAAGAACTTCTTAAGCTAGCTTGAACAATAAGGAATGTCTAATGATTCCAAGGTCTAATTATAAGTTAGGATAGCCAAAAATAAAATGGAAATAAGAAAACATTTAAGAACTATGTAAATCTATTAACTCAAAATTGTTACTGTCACAGGCTCATAGAAATACCTTCTCTAGGTTGGGAGTTGAGCTTCTCTCTTCATCAGGCCAAAGAATCCACGATGCAATGCACATATCAATTCCATCATTAATCAGAACTTGTGGTAATAACAAGCAAGACTTGTCAATAATTTCTAGACCCATATCTTTCCCTTCAAGAAACATGCCGCCAAATCTCTGAACAGAAATTGCAGGACTTTTAAGCACTTGAATTTGAACTTTCAAGTTCCAAGTAACTTTGCGGACACCACTTTTCCCCATTATATCACCAATTCTCTTCCATCTCAGTTTAGCCATCTCCAAAAAATGCTCAGGAGGTAGGCTATTATGTTTATCACTAGATGCACACGTTGACAAGAAATTGTTTTTTCCATTGTCCAACCACAATAAATCCTTAGGCAAATTTACATAGTACACAGGAGAATTTTCCCAACAGATTGCTATGCCATGTATCTCAAAGGGAGCTACAGAGTTTGGTTCTGATCGTCTGTTGAAGTGGATATCGAAACAGAATTCGAGTGCAGTCTCCCACAGCTCCAGGAAAGAATCAAATCCACCTGGAGTATTAACCGCATTTAGGGGACCTTTCCCACAAGCACTCTCCACATTTCCAACACAGAGATCTTCATTGTGCCTATCCTGCACTCCTTGATCCAGATATCCACTAATAGTTGCCATCTTTATACTTCTGCAACATTCAACAGCAGCATTGACCTCATCACCAGTTACAGGATTTTCCATACATAAGTTACTTTGCAAGGTAGTATCTGACTTTACTTCTGCTGAAGCCAATAAGTTATCAGCTGAGGCTTTTGTCAGCATTATTCCTTCGTTAGCTGAAGAAACTTTCTCCAAATTCTTACTTGTTTCTGTCAGTGGCTTGGACAATGCATGCCTTATGTGTTCAACCCCAACAACAATACTAGGAAAGTCATCCCCAACACTGGTAGTTGCAGCTTCCTGTCCTCCCAGGCTTCCATTCAGTATCAATGGTCGAGAAAACTGTGGGACACTATAACCAAGTGATTTAAAAGCTGAGAAGGCAGCAGCCCTGGCCTCTTCAGCTTTATCAAGAACAATTTTACGTGCACCATTCTTGATCTTCTTTGCCACACCCAATTGCATGCGTCGTTGTGCCAAACTTTCTAAAGCATCATACTTGTCAACATAGCAAAAAAGGAAAGACAAAAAATAGAAAGAGAGAAGTAAAGAGAAGAAAGAAATGGCGACATAGTAGCTGTTCAGCATAACAAAGAAAACTACTTCAACAAAGAAAACATTACTCCAGAATCCAAAACCAAAAAAAAAAAAAAAATCATAACAATAGAAATAATAGAATAATCCCAAATTAAGAAAATGTCAAACATAGGTTAGAAAGTTAAGAATGTGCAACAAATAAGTATCACTGCATAATCATAACCCTTAATTAAAGAAGCCATATAACCAAAACGTCCAAAACTTCACCTTGTGCAACCCATGATGAGGATTCAAAAAGAGCTTTGACAATCTCAGGAATAGATGCCTCGGCAACTGCTAGAGGTGTGCGCAAACCAGCTTTATAAAGTGCTCTAGCCCGTGATCCCTAAAAATCACATGATAAAAGTTGCAAATATGAGACAATGATAATATCTACCATACATAAATAGTAATGAATTACCATAATGATATTCTTGTATACTCAAATTACAGGCACATTCAACATTTCATAAGTTTTTTTTGTGTAATCGAAGAATCATTCCAAATAGGCAAACAACAATGTCAGTCCAAGGCATCTGATACACAAATATGTTTAAAATGGAGAACTGATGTAACAAAGTCTATAAGAACCCAAGAAAAAATCAACAAAATACAATTTACCTTCACATATGGAATAGTAGTAAGCTCTACAATCTCTGCTCTGACTCCAAAAGAAACACGATTTTGGAACTTTGCTACCAAGCCTTCTAGGTCATGCCATCCTAGCCTCTCACAAAACACAGAAACCATTGATGCAAACCTTCCAGCATTCTCTTGTAAGGCTTGTACCATGCCTTTTGCCACTCGAAAAGCTTCACAAACCTCACCTACTGGAGCTTCCTTCATTGCAGAATTTACAAAACATGAATTTAAAACAGTAGGAAATAAAAGAAAACTCTTACATTGCACAAGAAGTTGTAACCTGTTAAAAGGAAAAAGGTAAGAATGATCGGCTTCATCAGAGAGTTATGAGCAGGGAACAATCAATGGAACTTCTATATATGTTAATTACAGGGTCAAAGATGAAAGGAGATAATTTCATGGAGTTTCTAACGTAGATTTGTCATGCCAGAAACAAATGCATAACATTTGTGCCTCTATTTTACAAAGTCTCATAATGATCATACGCTACTAGCACATACATGTCATAGCAGTAATATACAAATATATACTATGAACTAACAACAATAGTGTGGCAAACATCTATTGACGTGAACAGAAAAAATGGCAAAGAAACCTGCACTAATCTTGACAACATGAGGGCAACATAAAACCGTTTGCACACTCGATGTGATTGCTCGTCTGAAAGAAAAGTGTTGTTGATCCCAAGTTGATTTTCAAACTTTCCACGTAACCTCTTCATACTATCTCTTAATCCGTTTGATTTGCGGATAGGTGCACCATGTGCCATGCGCATCAAAAATGGTTCTGCTACCCCAACTCGATAACCAACAGACTGCATTTCATTAAGCATGGAAGAAAACTTGACTTTTCATATCATCAGTACTTACAATTAAATACAACAACAATTACTGTTGAATTTAAATGGTTAAAATCATCTCTATCTGTTAAAATATTAAAGTAATTATCAATTAGGAAATATCCCAATTATAAAAAGAAACTGGACTATAATTATCACATTTTCTTTCCATTAATTTAAATCACAATTGCACTACAAGAAATCAAATATCTCTTTAGTGTGACTCAAGGAATCAGAAGTTTAAACTTGAAAACACATAAATGATATCAATTACTGTAGAAATCTGATTCTCCTACATTAGTGCAACTTGGTTTTCCAATTTATTTTGGGAATATTTCTCATTTATTCTTCTGATTTAGTCAACGATTTTGATTGCCAAGTTTTTAGGGATTTGTTTCTATTTTATAATAGAATAATTCTCCTTCCTTTTATTATTTTTTGTTTTTTGTTTCATGTAAGTTGTTTCCTAACAAGGAACTTCATCGTTCCTATTTATTTTGATGTACTCCTTCATTCTAAAGGATATAAGAAGAACAAAAGTGACAATTGCTCTTTAAGTTTTCTACATCGTATCAAAGCAAGCGTCCTGAACCATTAGACTATAGCGGTTATGGCCAGCAAGAGTGAAAACTCTGGTTCTATAGAGATATGGCGTGGGGAAAGCCACAAAAAGGTGATGCTCCAACAAACCCTTCAGAACAAGTCTACAACCTTTAGAACTAGTTTCCTAGCACAAAAAAGGTAATTTCCTAAACGCCTTAAGTGTTCAAAGGCGAAATACATAATCTTGGATTGTTGATTCAAGAGCATCAAACCACATGACCGGAGATGCATCCTTATTCAACACATATAGACCTTACTATGATAATTCTGCTATAAAAATTGCTAATGGCTCTCTCTCAAAGGTGGCAGGAATAGGTTCTATTGTAGTTGCAAAAGGCATAACACTCGACTCTATCCTCCATTTCCCTAAGTGAAGCTGTAACCTATTTTCGATCAGAAAGCTTACAAAGAATAAATGTTATGTCACTAAATTTTTTCCCAACTTGTGTGAATTTCAAGAATTGGGCTCAGGGAGAATTATTGATAGTGCTAGAATGTGTGCAGGGCTCTACCTTTTTCAAGATGATGCACTTGAGAGACCACAAAACTCTTGTACAACCTTAACCTCTAATACTAGTAAGGATGACCTTATCATGTTATGGCATTATAGACAAGGACATCCAAATATTTTGTACCTAAAAAGGCTATTTCCCTCATTGTTCAATCAAATCTCTTAAGATTTTCAGTGTCAAATTTATCAACTTTCCAAGCACACTCGAAATACCTATCCTAGCCTTTTCCTATAAATCATCTCAAACTTTCTCAATGATTCACAGTGACATTTGGGGACCATCAAGAGTTAACAATATCATAGGTTCTAAGTGGTTTGTTACATTTATCGATGATCATACTCAACTCACTTGGGTATTCCTTATGAAAGAAAAATCTGAGGTTGGCCAAATCTTTCAAAACTTCAATAGCATGGTACAAACCCAATTCCAAGCCAAAATCCAAGTCCTAAAAGCTAACAATGGGAAGGGATACTTCAACTCTATTCTCTGTCCTTACCTCACCAATCATGGCATTATCCATCAAAGCTCTTGCATTGACACTCCACAGCAAAATGGGGTTGCCAAACACAAAAACAGACATTTGATAGAAGTGACCAAATCCATTTTATTGACTTCCAATGTGCCTAAACATTTTTAGGGAAAAGCTGTCCTCACTGCAACTTATTTGGTTAACCAAATGCCTTCTCGAGTTCTTGGTTTTAAAACACCTTGTCAAACTCTCCTCACTTCCTACCCACAAACTCGGTTGATCTCTTCTAGTCACATCAAACTCTTTGGCTGCCTTGCCTTTGTTCATATTAGCCAACAAATCCACAGCAAGCTGGATCCTAAAGCCTTAAAATGCATCTTCCTTGGTTATTCCCCAAACCAAAAGGGCTATAGGTGTTACTCACCAATCACAAAAAAATTCTATAACTCTATGGATGTCACCTTCTTTGAGACTCTTCCATACTACAGCAAGAATGATATTCAGGGGGGGAATACCGCTCAGGAATATCAATTCTTAGCTGTTGACTTACCAATTTCCCAACCAGCCCCTCCAATTTCTCAACCAGATTCCCAACCAACCCCTTCAAAACTAGATTCTCAATCAGCCCATTCAAAATCAGATTCTCAACCAGTCCCTTCAAAACCAGATTCTCTACATACCCAACTTATCCACCATGCAGATTCCAAAACCCAACCTGTTCAGACAACTCTGGACTCTTCAAACCCTAAGGTTATGCAAGAAAAAACAAAAGAACTAACAATCTACTCAAGGAAGCAAAAAACACAAGAAGAAGTGGACAACTGTACACAGCCAACCATTACAAATCAACCTGATCCAAGTCTCCAAGAACCTGAAACTAACATAGTTAATGTCCCTATTGAATTTGAAACTAAAACTTGTGAGCTAGCTGGTGACCTTGACATTCCTATTGCATTAAGAAAAGGGGTGAGATCATGCACCCGGTACCCTATCTGCAAGTACATCTCATATGAAAGGTTAAATCCAAACTTTCGAGCCTTTACTACTAACCTTAACAATGTGCAAATTCCAAAAAATATTCAGGAAGCTCTCAATGAACCAAATTGAAAGGCAACAGTTCTTGAAGAAATCAAGGCACTAGAGAAGAATGGGACATGGGAAATTTCATATTTGCCCAAAGGGAAAAACCCAGTTGGATGTAAGTGGATCTTCAAAATAATTCACAATGCAGATTGAAGTACAAACAGGTTCAAAGCTAGACTTGTTGCAAAGGGGTTCACTCAATCCTATGGGATAGACTATGAGGAGACATTTGCTCCGATAGCCAAACTCAATTCAATCAAAGTTCTATTGTCACTAGCAGCAAACTTGGATTGGCCTCTCCACCAACTTGACATCAAGAATGCATTCTTAAATGGTAACTAGGAGGAAGATGTCTACATGGAAATTCCCCCTGGTTTCGAAAGGCAAGATAACATGGGCAAAGTGTGCAAACTCCGGAAATCTTTGTATGGACTTAAACAATCCCCTCGGGCTTGGTTGAACAGTTGACCACAGCAGTGAAGTGGTATGGATTCCTTCAATGTCAATCTGACCATACTACGTTTGTTAAGTTCACTAATGAAGGAAAAAAAGTCATTCTTATTGTTTATGTGGATGATATCATAATCATCGGAGACCACAAGGAAGGAATAGATGATTTGAAGAAACTCCTTGCAAAGGAGTTTAAAGGACTTGGGGTTCCTTAAATATTTCCTTGGGATGGAAGTGGCTCAATCTAAGAATGGAATATCAATGTGTCAGCATTAGTATGTACTTGATCTACTAAAAAAAACTGGCATGATTGGAAGCAAACCTACCGATATACCCATGGGCTCAACTAATAAAATTAGAAGTGAAGATGGAAGCTCTCTCACAGACAAAGGGCGATACCAAAGATTAGTTGGGAAGCTTATATACCACTCCCACACACGACCTGATATCAGGTTTGCAATAGGGATGGTGAGTTGATACATGAATAATCTAACCAAGGAGCACCTCAAGGCTGTTCATCACATCCTACAGTACTTAAAGATGAGTCCCAGTGAAATTCTATACTTTAAGAAGTTAATGGACAAGGCAGTCGAGGTGTACACAGATGCTAACTAGGCTGGATCAATAATAGATATAAGGTCCACTACTAAATATTGCACTTATGTTTAGGGCAATTTGATCACTTGGAGAAGTAAAAAGCAAGCTGTTGTAGCTAGGAGCAATGGTGAAGCTGAGTTTAGAGCAATGTCCCATGGTATTTGTGAAGGAATTTGGCTAATGAGGTTACTTGGAGAATAAAAAGTTCAGACTGTGACATCTATGACATTGTTTTGTGACAATAAGGCTACTATAAGTATTGCCAAAAATCCTGTTTATGATGATAGGACCAAGCACATAGAGCTGGACCAACATTTCATAAAGGAAAAGATAGAAAATGGGTCGGTCAAACTGACCTATATCCCTACAAGTTCTCAAATTGCAGATATTCTGACTAAAACTCTTCCTAGAAACATCTTTGACGGATTGATATCCAAGCTGGGTATGATTAACATTCATAACCCAACTTGAAGGGACTGTAGAAATATGATTCTCCTACATTAGTGCAGCTTGGTTTTCTAATTTATTTTGAGAATATTTCTCATTTATTCTTCTGATTTAGTTGGCGATTCTCATTGCCAAGTTTTTAAGGATTTGTTTCTATTTTGTAATAGAATAATTCTCCTTCCTTTTATTATTTTTGTTTTATGTTTCATGTAAGTTGTTTCCTAATAAGGAACTTCATCGTTCCTATTTATTTTGATGTACTCCTTCATTCTAAAGGATATAAGAAGAACAAAAGTGACAACTGTTCATTAAGTTTTCTACAATTACAGATGAGCCCACCCAGTCCATGTAATACTGATCATCACTAAAAAGGAGAGCAACAGAGAACCAGGTTCAAGTTTGAGTGTAAAAATAGGGCTTGCCCATAGTAACACTAAAATTTACTGTTCCAATGCACCCAAAAGAATCAAAATTTTAGACAAGAAGCAAACGTCACCTGTTCAAGAGCAGACAATTCCATGAACCGTTCATAATACAATTCCCAATCTGGCTCAACTTCAACGTTGATTGGTGTTACTAGATAAACTAAATGTAAATCAGATGCAAGCACAAAGCCTTCTCTGGCCCTTGAAAGATCATCCAGAACAATCTGTGAGATAAGTCAAATAATTATACTTGATGTCAACACCACAAATTTTATTCCTACTACCAGGGATCTGATCGACATGTAAAATTCTGATAAAAAAGAAAGAATGCTGAAAACTGCAGGACCATCAAAATCTAATTTGAAATTAAACAATATAAAGAATACAAACTTTACCAGTGACTCCTCTGGGCAAAGAGAACTGCCAAAAGCTGCACGTCCAAGGGGAGTAGTACCATATAACTTGGTCTCATCATTCCATTCAAGAAATTTTTTGTGACACAGCCACCTAAGGGAATCCTGAGCAGATTTCACCACATCTTGAAATGGTTTTGTAGAATTGAGAAGAGTACACCTAACATAGCGGTTAATATCAGAGGCAGTTTGAACCATTCCACCAGCCACAACTTCTAGAATTGCATGAGTCATTCCATTCTTATCTTCAGATAAACAAGATTGCAGTGGTGGGCAACTTTCATTAAGAAGTCCTTTAATTCTTTTGATCTCTTCTGGCTTGCAAATAAGAACCTGTTTATATGAAAACAGTAGAAAGGAAAAAAAATAATTAATGAAAAGCAAAAGAGAATAAAAACTGTTTCAAATATAACGAATATAAACAAAAGCAAATGGCTATAACAATTGGAGTCAAAGCAATCACTGTATAGGCCCAGAATAAAATAAATGAGACGACAAAAACAGATATTCATAAAATTATTGAACCTACACTTTCTCCTTTTGTATCTATACCAGTTCGACCAGCCCGACCAGCCATCTGTTTGTATCTAGTCCCATCAATAAAATCACGGCCAATCCGGGGTTGTCGAAAAATGACTCTGCGAGCAGGTAGGTTGACACCAGCAGCTAAGGTAGATGTGGCAGTTAAGACACGAACAAACCCTCTACGATAGCAGGTTTCAATAATCTCTCTTTCCTCAACCTTTACAAAGATAAAAAGACACTTTGACCATTAAAAATAATAGAGCTTACAAGATTGGACAATCAATAAGAAGCTAACAAGTATACATTATTGTAATTTGTACAGGATAATAAAGGATACAGAAAACAAGCAAAGTTGATACTAGAACAATAAAATACAAAAGATAAGAGTGGAAGAAGTACAGTGAGGCCAGCATGGTGATATGCAACACCAGAAGGAAGATTTTCTTCCAATATTGGATCCAACCCAGCAGGAGACCTTCGCAAGGCATTGATTGCAGAAGTAATATCAACAAACTCACTGTTATCACCATTGACATTGACAGAAAATTTCTTGAGAAATTTTGACACATGTGTTGCAGTTGATTCACATCCTTTCCGAGTAGAACAAAATATCAACACTGAATGACCCTCTTGAACAACCTAAAGTACATTCCAAAAATTCAAAATTCTCAAACACTCAACAAAATAGTACTAAGCTAGAGCTTTCCTGAAAAATAAAGTTTGAAAATTTTAATAGAACAAAATATACAAGATTCCCAACCTCATTGCACAGTTCGACAATATGATCAGGATCTTTACCACCAAGGTCAACCGCCTTCGGAATTGTTCTAACAATGTCCATATTCTTGTCATAAATGGTATTGCCAACTTTAATAAACTCCTCCAATGGAACCGGTCTAAAATCTGTCTGGTACAATGCTGCCTAAATGTGGAGTTGTAACAAACAAATGACAAATCATTAACCACAAAAGAAAGCACAAATAATATAGCGTAGCATCAAAATTTCTCTAATGACCCTTCAAGGGAAAATATTTCTTGAGCTTGAATTCTTTTAAAGCACTATGTTTCTTAATCTCTATTATTCACTAACAAAAACTTGACAAGATAAAATTCTAAATTATTTAAAACAAAATCCATTCTATTGGATCATCCTCGAGAAACTATTAAAAAGCCAAAAATATTAATCTAATAAGTGCATTTGACTGATTAAGCAGTCTGCAGATATTCCTAATAGCTTTATAGAATACATAGTATTCTTCCCATATTATCAAAAAATAATGAATTTATTGTGAAGCACAAACAATCCTTAAGTCTAAAATCAGTAGATTTTAATGTGTGTGTGTGAGTGTGTGCATGCGTATGTGTGTCAGTGAAAGAAAATTGCTTTACTGCATCAATCTAATTCCACATCATGACTAATAAGCTTAGAGCATAAAATAAACCTCTAGGAAAAAAATTCTAATGAAAGGATAACTTTTATATTTAAATACATCAACATGTTAAAACCAAGTAATGTCATATATACATCCACAAACCATCAGTTTCACAGCAGTATAGACAATTGCCATGTAGACATCAATATCAAGCAAAAAAAACATTCATGAGATCAAAGACATTTAACGAGAAGCAAAAAGGAGAGAGAGACAGAAAAATAAGGAAAAAATTGATACTTTGTATATCCCACTTACTTGCAGCCAGTCAGCAACGGCTTCCACATTTGGCATTGTTGCACTCATCCCTACAATTTGTAAACCATGACCTGGATCAGCCTTACTGCTACTGGAACCTGAACTTTCTCCACTAATTGATTCTGACATGCCTAAACCAGCTGCATAACGAAGCTTTGTCAACAGAAGTTCCAGAAGATAACCCCTACTCTGATCTCCAACCTGTCACAAATCATAGACATGGGAACTATCAACATTAGTTGATCTTAAATGTAAAAGACTGAAGGGAGATTAAGGGCAATTAGGAAATGATAAGTGGAAGAACAAAGGTGTACTATAACAAGTAATGACAGCAAAAATATGTCAGAAAATACCATGTGCAGTTCATCTATCACAATAATTCCAATTTCTGGCAGACGACCCTCTTCCAGCAATCTGTTAATTAAAGAGTTTGCCTTCTCTATTGTACAAACAGCTACAGAAGTATCTTTAGGAAGCGTTCCACCACCCTGATTTCCATAATAACTACGAACTTGTCTGCCAAGTGGTTCAAGAAGGACCTCCAGATGTTCTGCCTGCAGTATGTTTAGGTAATAAGTACAATGAATTGCCCAAGAAGACTTAAATTTGTACCAGCTAACATTTGGTGGAAAAGAACAAACAACCTTTTCTGCACAGATTGAAACATAAGGAAGCACAAGTAATGCCACTTTTCCAGTTAATATCACCCGCCGCAACATCAAAATTTCTGCAACAAAGCTTTTACCAGCACTGTGGCAGAAAGAACAAGATTAAGCATATATAATGCAAGACAAGTATCAAGAGCCAAGCAAAATCTATACAACTTTCCCTATCAGTGCAACAGGTAATGTTGCTAAATATCAGGCAAAGAGAGGACTGAGAACAATAAAGATTCACAGCCACAGAAAATGACCATGACAAAACTTATGCTTAGTTTTAACTGCTTATAAAGTACCTTGTAGATGCACAATATACAAGATTTCTTCTCTGCAATACACCATCTACCTGAAGGCAGTCAACCTGGAAAGGAGAGGCTTTACTATCATGCTTTAAGTGAAGCAAATAAAATATTTAAACACAAGATACAAAATGCAAAAAAGATATCAATGTTTGAAGGTACTATCAATTTAATCCACTTGAATAAACAAGACAAGCGTGTGTAACATAACACTAATGGATTGACTTTAACACAAAACCAAAAGACAACAATAGAAGTACATAAGGAACAGAGACTAGTAGCAGAAGTAAACAATAACAGATATAAACACATGTGCACATATCTAGGTAGCATCACTAAGGCTGTAAGTACACAAGGGATATTAACGCCTTAGCATTGCTTCTGATGAAATATAAAGTTGCAAACTATCAGTGATAAAAAGTAAGCCTCTTTATGTAGAAGATGAAAATTTCTTAGTTATAAGATAGAAGAAAGATAATTTTGCACTGAAAAAACAGCAGAATAAACAAACATGAAAAAGCCATCATTTCTCAATGTAGAGGAGTCAAGTATGGCCTATGAAACCATTTACACTTGAAATCTGTACAAATGAGAGAGAGGGTGATTAGCACTTGGCCACTGCCACCTTAAAAGAAATCTATTACAAGGAAAACTCAAGCACCTGTTAATCACACGAAAATCCAAATACAATCTCAATAAGAGTACAAAAGGACTAGTTATATTATCTAAGTGAGCATGTCTATAAGAATGATTGTCAAAAAATTTGCAACTATAATTACAATTCAAAATCCAAAAAGAGACCTAGCAAGGTTTACTTTAGAACCAAAAATCAAAACCCTAATAAGAAGTGCTAAAAGTATCCTGTAAAAAAAGATACCATGATAATGCTGAACCAACCTGTCCCATTTGATCCCTAGATTCTTTCTAGGAAAATACCAGGATGGGGGAGGGCGAGAAAAGCAATTAGGAATCATGCAAATGTTTATATGTACCTGCCATGGATATAGTTCTGCAATTCCTCTCTTTTTATATATTTCACATATTTCTAAAGGAAGCCACCTGCTGAGACTTAACTGGTCTTTAAGTACCACAGAACTTAATGGAGTAGTTGTTTCACTGCATTCATCATCACTACTTGACTTCTTCACTTCATTAGCTGGTGACGTGGAAATTATGCTATCATTAACTTGACTTGACAAACTCACTTCCATTTTGGATACCACATGAACTGAAGCCCTTTCCAACTTTTCTCCTTGCACCTCTTCATTTGTCTTTAGTTCATCACAATCTATCAGTGTATTAACAGTTGATGGACCTTTATGATTGACAACACAGCATCCAGTTACTTCATTGTCCCTCTGTATAATGTAAGGGATGCTTCCATCCAAATTTTTCTCCTCAAATGAGAAGTCAAGATGCTTGACAGGCAGCAGGGACACTTCTTTGTCTATATCTTTCTTCTGATTCATTGCTGAATCCCAAGAAGCACGAATTCCCTTAAGTTTGACTCTGCTCTCACATTCATCTGGAATTTCCTTTGTCTTGTTGCCAACATTTTTATTTCCTAAACTTTCTGTATTCTTTACTTCATATTGGCTCTTCGGATTATTAGTTTCTTCAGCAACTTGAGCAGATAGTATATCACTTTCAAAAAACAAACCATCAGCCATTTCAATCGCTTCATTCCAGAATGCTTCCCCTGGAGAAAACATGGAGCTTCCTCGCATTGACTGTGGTGTCCTATGAGCACATGCCTTAACAATCGATGAACCAGGTGTACTGCATTCAATTCTATTTAGGACAGATTTGGTTGCTGCAGTGCACTTTCTTAAGCTTGCTTGAAGCTCAATGAGATTGCTAGCAGTGTTTACCTTAACAAACAAAAATTAGTCAAACAAAAGTCAGGAGAATTTCAATCATCAAAACTAACACAGAGTGGTTACTTACTTCTTGTGAAGGGTTCCAAGGGAACTCTCCAGCTTCATATTCAAGATTTTTCTTGTTAGAACAAACAGTTACAACTTCTGTTTGTAACTGATGGGATAGAAGATGCCTTTTCTTGAATCTTTTATCCTCCTCACTCATCATAGATGGACCACTATGTCTCCTTTGGTCATTCACCTTCATCTCTGACAGTGAATTGACGTGTGGTTGAACTTCACTGCATATGAAGACGATTAGAAATAACAATAAAATGTTTCTTTCTTTAGCAAAGTTGAAGAAAAGGCACAATTTAAATACTGGAAAATGCTAAAAAACACCATGGCAGTTCTTGGTTATAAACAAGATACAACAGCATTACCTACAATACAAAGACAAAAAATCAGTAGCAAACTGTTTTAGTTCTGAATTTTCACTAACATGAAGAGCACTCTCAGCAGGATCTCCAAAGGCAACATTTCCTTCCTCAGACGAACCAAGAGACTTTCCCTTACGAGTCACTTCAAATTCCTCAGAACTTTGAGACTTCGGTTCTTTCAATAACAAAGACTGCTCTTTTTCGTCTTTGGAAGATATATCAATTTCCGATGCCAAGTTCCTTTTAACAGGATCCTTCCCTCGAGTCATGCATGAAGGGTCCATGATTTCATTATCTTGTGAAGCCTTTAGGTAATTGTCCAAAGTGCCTTTGGCACTAGGAGAACCTTCCACCGTTGTTTTTGCATTCTTTTCAAATCTCCCAGTCTTCAAACCAGGTGATTGGGGTTTCCTCTTCTTCGAAGCAAAAAACTGCATAATCAATAAGACAAAAGCAAAGATCATTTCAAGCCTTTCTATTCTTTGTAAACTTTTCCGTTGGGGTTTTCTTGGGAATATCAATTTCCAATTCTTCCTCGTTTCGAATAAAAAAAGTAACCGAAAAAAGAAATTTAGCCAAAAAAAAAGAACAAGAAAAGAGAGAATCCTATTTTAAAATCAAAATAGAATTTGATATTCTAGAGTAAAATGAAATTATATTGAGGGAGAAAATTAGAGTTTTGAAAAAAAAAAAAAAGATAGGATTTAGGATAAACCTGATCGATGCGTGCTCGAGATGTACCAAACGCCATTATCGGAGATAGAAAAGGTGGACGACGATCTGCAGAAACTGATCTTTCTTTCTGCTCTTAGGAGTCTGAAAAGCGAAGTTGTAGAGATGTTTGAATGATGGAAGTGAGCGGCAAGAAAAACCGAGAGCGAGCTGTTCCAATGCTTGATACTCTTGATGGTGCGATTCAAATATAATAGAAGGTATTTGCAATTGTGTCCTTCGTCTTTACAGTATTTAGCTTTTTCATCTTTCCACCTCCACCACTGAAAAGAAAACCCTGGGCTCGAAAATTAGGTTTAGCCTAACGGCAAAATGGCTGGGTTTATGATGATTTATGCTGGCACATGGCTTGAAAGTAGAATGGCATTTGGTTGAAGTTAGGCACAACTAACGGGGTTAAAGGTAATTTTATTATTCTACTGTAGGTGAAGGTTAAATTTTGTCATTTGCTATATTGATGCCCGCGTTTTTTATTTTTTTATAAGTATTTATATTGAAATAATTTTAAAATATAATTTTAAATTAAGAATATGAAGCATATGACCTATATTTCTTTTCATTACATTATCCATTATAATAAAAAAATTATGTAATGGTACATCATATATAATTATGAGCTCCACATAAATTTTTTATGAACTTCATATAATTTTGAATTTTATTATTTAATTTTATTATTATAATTGTATATGAAATATATCTTTAAAAATAAGAATCCACTTATGTTAGTATAAGTCTTAAATTTTTTTAATTATTGGATCAAAACTATATTCATGACTAATTCAGATTAAAAAAATGTTTTTAATATTAATCATTTTGATCCAAAAATTTAAAAAATGTAAAATTTACAATAATATAAGTAAATCACTCTTTTTAAATTAAAGTATATTAAATAATGATTATTCATTTACATAATTTTACTTTTTTGTATTTTTAATATATATAGCTATTAATATAATCATATTTTATTAATTAAGAAATTAATTATTTACAAATTATGTAATACAAACGCATTGGCTTGAAAATAGGCATTGGCTTGAAATTAAATGTCAATTATTATTATTAAATTTTCATTTAAATTTTTTCATCATTTGAAATTTTATCCTTGGAATAATTACCGGTTGCTTTCAAAATTTTATAAAAAAAATTTACATGATAAAATAAAGTTTGAAAATTATTTATTTTTTACTAACCTATAAGTGCGGTATTCTTATTTTTTATATTATTAATATATATATTAATTTAGAAATCTAAACGAATAAATAACTAAATAAGCAAAAAATAAAACAAATTAAATAATAATAATAATAATGAAAAAAAAGCAAAATTAATACAACCGGGTCGAGTTGTATATTGGATCAACATATGGATTTGCTTAGCGAGTCAAATGATCTAGTTCTAAAATTCTCAAAATGATATCATTTTTTTTAAAATCATTTTTTTCAATTTTCCCTTATTCCCTTTATCTCTCTTCCTTCTCTCTAGAATAGGATAATTTCAGGCCAAAAACTTCAAACCCTTTTCATAATACAATGATATTTTCCAAATTTTGGTAGTTATCCATCATTGTTGCCATCATTTATTATCGATGGTCGTCATCGCCAGTGTCAAAAAATAAAAAAAATGTTTTGGAACCCTTACAATCTCCTTTTTTCCTTTTTCACCCTTAGACCTTTTAAAAAAATTCTTAACTAATCCTAGATCTAACCTTTAAGCTGTAACTTAAAACTTTAAAAAAAAAAAAATAATTCCACCGTCGAAAATAACCTCATTTTAAGTATAAGTTTCCTTTCTTTTGGCCTTCCTTTTTCTTAATTTTTAAGCTTTGATATATTAAATCACCAAATAATTTATAGCACCCAAAGCCCTAACACACTGCCAAAAGTTTTGCTATGTTTTTTCTTTTTATTAAAAGTAAATTGGTCATTTCATGTTATAAGACATGTATTAGTCATTAATCTCAAAACCAAAGTTAAAATGGCCATTTTAAAAATTATAATAAATGACAGATGTCAACTTTTAATCTCTTTTAAGATTCTTTTAATAGATAAATAGAGTTTTTTTTCATATTTTTTAATTTTTTTAGTGTTGTTAAGCTATAAAAAATTAAATCAAAAATAAAAAAATGACACTTGGCAATATGAAATCTCTTAGGGGATTATTTTCATATATATTAGGGTGGGAGCCCGACTTTACTCAAATTTTTTAAGTTCTTTTTGGTTTATAGTACAAAATCTTTGAAGAGATAATAAACAAATTTGGTTGTTGGATTGAGTTAAAATGTGAAATCTCTTGTATTGTACAAAGTAGAAATGATATGAGATTGTAATAAAATAAAGTTGAATTCAATTATAGGTAAAATAGAGAAAGCCATGTAAAAGTAGCTAAGAAACAAAATAATAAACCAAACAAAGAGTTCATGCGCATGATGTTTATAGTGTAATGAAACAGAGTGCATCAACACATCCAAATGGATTTACGGTGCAATGAAACAAAGTAAGTTGAAATCATGCAACCAAATTTAGCATTAACAAAAAAGGAACATTTTGCTAGGACTATAATACAACAATAATGTTTGATATGAATTAAAATAAGAAGATGCATATGTTTTTTGCTATCCTAATATAGAGAAAAAAAGTCGAATATAAATTCATCACTCACATATGTCAACCAAAGAAAAAAGAATCGATAGCCAATAGACAAATTAAAGCTCACCATTAAATCTTGTGCAACCATCATTACGCACACTAAGTTCATTAACAATGCTTTTAGAACACAAATTAAAAATATTCACATCCATGCCTAAACCAAAAATAACTCTAGAATAACTCATCAAACTCTAACTATTGCATCCTTATTTTCGCCATTTGAGTAATTAAAGCATTAACAATAACAGACGTAAGAACATTTTTAAATTGGACATATGAGGCATTTTGCTTTCATTTGTTACCTTAATAGATAAGGTATACTTGAAACAATATAGTAATGGCTGGCTACATTGCATTTTGTGTTCTGTTTAAACAACCAGTAGCAAAAGAGAAAAGTAAGTTTTTTGTTAAGGTTCCATTAGCTATTAGGTTCTATTGTTAGAATGTGCTACTGAGGCATATTAAGAAAAATTCTTAAACCTTTCAAAGTGAAGATTCCATGAGATGAAACCATGGAGTTCAACCCAAAACCATAAAAAAAAAAACCATCAAGTCATCATACAAACTATCTTTTAACAAATATTTCCTAAAATCTGCTTTTCGTTTATCAAATCAATTTAACTTATAGGTAAAAAACACGTCTTATTTAAACCAATAATAATACTAAATCCAATAAAAATTACTTTGTTCTCCGCACTCCTAATTCTAGTGACACATTTCTCCAGTTAAAAAAAAAACCTAGATATGCCTAATGAGTTTTATATGATTATGATGGAGCATTTAACATTTCCATATAATATATGTTGCACTTCATAATAAACCTAGAAAGCTTCAAGATAGAAAATTGTTTTAATATCCTTCCTCTTAGTTGCCATTTTTCTATCATGTAGAACTATCCAAGTTACATTATATGTCAACAATAGATATTTTGACATAGAGTTTGAAACATGATTAAAGCAACTTAATTGAAACCTTGTTCTTATGGCTCAAACTACTTAAACTTTTAATGCAATTTTAGTGAAGCTACTCATTTGAAAGTGTTAAGATGCACCAACCAAACTAACATCTTTGAAAATTACAAATTCAACACATGTATAAAAAACAATAATATTGGAACAAAGCATAATATTGATTTCAAATACTTGATATGTTCTTACAACTAGGCATTAAACTGTTTGTAGTTTTAAATAATCATCCTAAAGAGGCTCTGTTAGAAGTTAAAAGAAAATTGCATTATACAAACAGAGACACTTATTGGTACTAAAACTAACATGCAATCCCTCCAAAATATAACCAAAACAAATATTACAAAAATAACATTCAATGAAGCAAAATTTTATTCAAACTATTATCCCAACGACCTAAACAAAATAAAAGACTAAACTTTTCACTCACTTTGAACCTAATCAGGAAAAAATCTTCAACAACTCCTAAAAAAAAAAATTCAAACTATCATTATAGAAACCAATCTTCAACAATACAACCTTTAAACCATTTCAAACCAAAATAAAATAACATGCAAATATCAAAATACTAACAATAAATCAAACATAAACATAACTGAAAAAACACAAAAAACTTAGAAATGTACAAACTCAGATCAAACTAACATACAACTTAAAAAAGAAGACAATTTAAACAAATACTATATTGTTTATAGAAATTACAATTAAATCGTTACAGTGATGTTACAAATAATATATTAATAAAATAATATTTTTGTTATATAAATATTATATTAATAAATATTATTTATTTATTACATATATAATATTCTATTAATAAATAAATAAATAATATTCTACTAATAATAATATATTATATTAATAATACAATAATATTTATTTATTAATATAATATTATTTAGTAATATAAAGATATTAAATATTAATAATATATTATTAATAAAAATAGCTATTAATATATTATTTATATCATATTAATATAATATATTCTTTATAATATTTATTAATATATTATTTATTATTAATTTTATATTTTATTAATAATATATTATATTGAATAAGTTATCTATTTATAATTACATTATATTTACTTAATTATTATTAACATAATATAAGATATTAATATATATTTAATTAAAATAATATTATGTTATTAATATAACACTTATAAATAATATATTAAAAATAATATATTAATATAGTTATATTATTCATAACAAATGGAGTCTTAAAACTTTAACCATTTTCTATTACATGTTTTTTTTTTCACATTTATAAAACAATAATATTTTATCCAAACATGTTTTCAAATTCAATAAATTGAAAATAAAACAAAATAAAATTTTCAAAAACATAAAACTAAAAAACACAACAATACTAAATGACCCTTTAGTTTTCTGTTTGGATCTCTCAACTTCTATTCTTTTCATTATCTTTCCTTTTTAGCTTATCTCCATACCTCATTTTTTTTTTTTAAACAACTTGCCCCTTTTGCTTTCCATAAAACCTTATACTCTTTTTTTTATGAGTTAAATACATATTTGGCTCTATAAATTTTATAATTTTGATCATATTGGTACCTAAAAAAGTTTTTTGCGATACTAGTACCTAAACTTTCAAATTTTTATCACATTAATACCTCTGACTAACGTCGTTAGTCAACTTTGCTAACGTAACATAAACATCCAATAAGCTATTAATACATGTTAAAAAGTCTAGTCATCGTCCACATCATCA